TTCATGCACACGTTGAGTCTGAGAAAACAAGAGCTGAGTGATGGAGTTATGCTCATCAAATGTGAAAAACATCATAAAGCTGCTGTCATAACAGAACAAAATATGAGTCAWATGAGTTGTGAATGTTTTGGCTATTTACCCCACTGGTAGTAAAACTAAAGATGCTTTCACAGAACTTTTTAAAGATGGGTTTGAGATGCTTCTCCCTGCATCATRAAGCTGATCCTCTGACACCTCAGCAACAGAGGAAGTCACAGAGTGGAGTTGGTGAGTATGCATGGAGTGAGGTTTGGAGCCTGCAAAGCTCTATTCTGTCCTGTAGAGCCTCTGTCTCTCTGATGGTTCTGCAATGTTCATGTGGGTAAACCCACATCATTGGAAGTCTTGGTTTGATTAGTTCAGATCTCATCATAGCAGCCATAGAACCACAGTGTAAGAAAAACCTGATGCATTTATTTGCAAACAAATAGACAATTTTCATGTATAAAAAGCAGCAAATAGTTTTGAAAGCTCTTTGAGTCGTAGTGTTCAGCATTAGCAGACTGAGTCTTCTCTCTCCTCCTGCAGAGTGTAATCTATCTCATCCATCTCCCGTTCACAGTCTTCACATCCTTCGGTGCCGCATCCTTCCACAACCACCACACCGTGAGAGTCCACCATCCTCCCTGCACCTCCTCCTTTTGCTCCCATTGTCCCCCCGGCAACTCCCATCACATTCCCTCCAGCTCCTCCYATCCCACCCATCCCAGTCTCAGTGCCGCCAACTCCTCCCCCRCCCAGCATCTTCCCCCCAGCGCCACACGCCAAAGGTCCGACCGCTGGTCCCACACCCTTGGGCCACGTCGGATCTACGAGMACCCCCTGCTGGCCGAGCTGCATCAGCTGACTGACAGAGTAGATCCCTCCTCCCTCACCTTGAACCACCTCCTCGTAGGAGGGGGCGATGGTGGCAGCTCGGGCCTCCTCCAGCCTCAGCCTGGTCCGGTGCTTCATCTCGATGATGGTCTTGGTGTAGGAGTTGAGTGTGGCCACGGCAGCTGCCATGCAGCAGCTGAAGGAAAGCCATGCTAAGCTGGATGACAGAAACAAGAAGACAGACTTGAACTGTTTTCAGACAGTTTGACAAAATATTTTGAAATAAAAGTCTGACCACTCCAAGAGACTTGCTGTTCAATATTTTGTTAATATTGCAGGTTTCTGTCACAAGGTTAATTATATTCTTTACAGTGGTGGATCTAGGATTTTTCTGAGTCAGGGGCCATCAAGGGGCCACAATATTCACAGTGGTGCCAAGTCTTTGTTCAACATCGTTTCACACAAATTCCCAGTGTATACATTTTACACTTCAAACACTTGTAATGTAATGTAATTTTTTTAAAAAAAGGTACCACTTTACAATAAGGCCCCCTGTATAGAGGGCTTTTAAAGAGTTTATAGATAGGTTATTAATTAATCTGTAAACACTTTAAAATTATTAATAAGTGTTTATTATGCAACAATTAAGGAGAAAGACACAAAATTGTCCAGTTTCATTTATTAATGATTTATGAAGT